ACTAATACCATATTTAGGTTGCCAGTTATGCTATTTTCATACCTGAATTTGGTATTAATAAGTTATTTTATCCTGCTCGGGTAGAAAATAGCGTTTTTTGGTGGACCTTCGAAAATGTCGATTCTCTCTTTTGGTGACCATGGCTTCACTAACCTATTTTGCACTATTTCTGCTATGTCCTTCTATCATCCAGAACAACAAACGTATCAATGAATGTGTTTGCCGTCGAGTTATTAACAAAACAGAAAGTCGATGAAGAGAATCGATCAAAATCACTTGCACCTCTGCTTCCATGTTTGGTTACAAGATAACAACAGAGCGGAGCATTTTGTGTGGTCGTTGGGGGCGTGTGGATCTGAATATGGCGATGAGTGTCCAAAATGTTACACAATTGCATCCTCCCTATTCGCACACGCCCAAAGATCGGAGGCGAATGCCATTTTGACTTGTTTCGTCTACTAACGACTCTCTGATGGCAGTGTTGGGGAAGCATATGCATGTAATTGGTGGATTTGTTAGTTAATTAAACGCTTTTGGACAATGCTTGACATTTACCACTTTTTAAACAGTTTCTTGTTTAAAAAAAATCAACAGCTGAAAGCATTGTTATCGATGCGCAGAAATATTTCTGATCGATTGGTGATAAAATTATTGAAATTGGTCCAGGGTAAGCTGAATAATTAACGTTCAAAATCTTTCATAATTTCGTTACATGTTCCATTTTTCCAGTGTACCCCCATATAGATATCACAGACGTAGTCCTACGTCAAAATCTTGAATTTATATGATTGAGTGCGAATATCTCACGATTCTAAAATTTTAGCAAGAAATTCCTTCAATCAATTTTCGCTGTTTTGATATCTATTGAATTTTTGTGCACGAAAATGCGTAATTTTGTCATCAGATAACTAGGCGTTTCCGTGACGGGAAAATGTGGTTTCCTTAACAAAATCGCCGAATATTCGAGCACGTATTCCGTCAATGTTACAGTCGTGTCTTGGATACAACCTCTTACTTTTTTAGCATTAGGAACTGTGATATTCCAAAGAATTTTGGGTCGTGAAAGTCCAGAAGATCCGTAAAAGTGGTCAATCCACGAAACTGATTCTAGAGCTCCGCGTTTTTTTTTTTCGAAAACACTTAGAACTGTGATATAAAAACAAACAATTTGCGATCGTGACAAAAACATGGCTTGCATGGGCATGTGACCGACCTCCGGAAGATCCGGATTATTCGTAAAAGTGGTCAATCTTAAAACTCATAGAACTCCGTGTTTTTTTAAATACCTATAATGAATTTAGGATCACGACATAAACATGGACCCGAATTTCCATGCAAACGTCTTCTGGAAGCTCCGGATCATCCTTAAAAGTGGTCAGTCCATGAAACTGATTCAAGAGCACAGCAGTTTTTTTTTTTCAAAAACATTAGGAACTGTGAAATAAGAATACATTTAGGGTCGTGACACAAACATTGACCTGAATGGCCCCTGAAAGTCTCTTTAATAAAGAAAGATAAGATAAGATAAAGATAAAATACCTTGATGACCAGTGCTGGGGTTGTGGGTAGTCGCGGGTAGTCGACGACTACTTAGCTCCAAACCGAAATAAATGTTTCCAAAATAGGTAAAATACAGCAATCCAATATGGGAAAAAATGATTTATACACGTTTAAATGAGAGAAAAATCGTTAAATTTCAAATGGCTAGCGCCCATGGTAGAGAAAATCAGGGATAAATTGCAAAATAAAAATGAGATGGCTTGCGCCCCTATAAACATATTCAGGTGAAAAATTATCATATTAAATATTAAATTCAATTTGAAATGACTTGCGCCCCTGATAAACACGTTCTGGAACAAAAAAATAAAAAAAAAGTTATGTATGAAATGGCTTGCGCTCCTGGCAGACCAGTTCTGAGAATACTGAAAAGAAATGTAGAAATTCAAGCTGACGAATTGGGGGAAAAATAGAATAAAATAGTTTGCGACCCTGGCAAACAAAATCAAGGAAAAATTAAACAAAAATTTAAATGACCAGCACAGGAAAAAATTGAAAAAATATTTAATTTAAAAACTAATTACGCTTCTGGTAAACCTTTTCAGGTTGGAATTGATAAAAAATCATAAAAAAATGAATATTTAAAATGGTTTTCACCCCCTTATCTACGGTCACGGAAAAATGTAAAAAATGCTTAATTTGAAATGGCATGCACCCTTGGTAGACATGATCAGGGAAACATTAAAAAAAATGTTGCATTCAAAATGGCTAGCAACACTGGTAGACAAAATCAGGTTAAAATTGATAAAAATCTTAAATCAGGGAAAAAAAATTAAATTGAAAATGGCTTGCGTCTCTGGTAAACATGTTCGGGTAAAAGTTGATCAAAATCGTAAAATTTGAAGTGGCTTGCGCCTCTGGTGAACTTGATCAGGGAAAAAATTGCAATGGCTGTTAGACAAGTTCTCGAACAAATTGAAAAAAATGTTGTGCCCCTAGTAAACATGATAAGGGAAAAATTGATCAAAATCTTAAAATTTTAAATGGCACGCGCCCCTTATATACACGTTCAGAAGAAACTTAAAAAATATATTCTATTTTAAATGGCTTGCGCTCCTGTAAACACGTTCGGGAAAAAAAAAAAAATGTTATATTTTAAATAGCTATACCCCTGGTAAACATGTTCAGGTAAAACATGATTGAAATCGTTTAATTTGAAGCGGATACATGTTCAGGGAAAATTAATAGAAGTTTTTTAAATTTTAAATGGCTAGCATCCCTGGAAAAATTTAAAATGGGTAAAATTTTAAATGGCTTGCGCTCGGTAAACATCTACAGCGGAAAAGTGATCGAAATCGAAATACACGTTCAAAGAAGAAAGAAAGTCAAATGGCTAGCGCCCTGGTAGTTAGTGAAAAAGTTAATAAAAATATGTTAAATATGGAATGGTTAACGCCCCTGAAAAAAATAATCAGAGACAAATGTAAAATATGTAAAATTTGAAATGGCATGCGCCCTTGGTAGACAAGGTCAGGGAATAAAATTGAGTCATAATAGACGTGAAATTCATCTCAAACAAACGCCAAAGATGGATTTCGTCACGTGTAGGATTGGGTATTTCTAAGTGTGTAAATGCATGTACGAAATGAATGTAAATTTTTTTTCCTGCCTGGTTACAGACGTTTTAGAAAAAAAAACCACGGAGTTCTAGAATCAGTTTCAGGGACTGACCACTTTTACGGATGCTCAGGATCTTATGGACCCAAATTCTTTCTAATATCACAGTTCCAAGTGTTTTTGGGGATGATCTGTATCTTCCAAAGTACGATCCCACGGCCAACCAGGTCCATGTTTATGTCAAGACCCCAAATTTTAACTTATATCACAGTTCCTTTACGGATGTTCCGCATCTTCCCGAGGTCCGTTCCGTTATCTCCAGGGTTCATATTCTGGCAACCTGACTGTATTTTGGCTAACATTTGTGTTCATTAATCAAAATTATAGATCTTAATCTTGAAACTTTATTAATTTAAGTGGTAGGGGAAATGAATGCAATGTCGGTTAAAATGCTCCTAATTTGGGCACATACATAAATTCAGCAATCGACTAAATTTCAATAGCGACCACAAATATCCATTAGTACCGTCCCAATTATGCGTTCATCTAGATAAAATTGATAAAAAGCAGATGTTTAGAGATGGGCCCAATCTACGTCATTACAAACTTGCTGTTGCACACTTTCCGGAAGCATCGTGTGCGGAGTTTTAAAAATATTTCAATATTTTTCATTCTACGAAGGACAACACTGCATAACTCTTGTTGGTTTGACGAACGTTCGCAACCTTGCTTATCATCTCATTCTTCTGTTATGTATAGTTGCTTCAAAAGACAACGGTTAAGGATAAAGTTCAGCAAAGCCTCACACTCCGAGCCATTCCTTGCTTTCAGGAGCACAAACCTCATCATCCAGAAGCCACCCAAATATGAAAATGCAAGTGGCTGTTTGCTTTTTTACAGCAAATACCGTCCCAATTATGCGTTCATCTAGATAAAATTGATAAAAAGCAGATGTTTAGAGATGGGCCCAATCTACGTCATTACAAACTTGCTGTTGCACACTTTCCGGAAGCATCGTGTGCGGAGTTTTAAAAATATTTCAATATTTTTCATTCTACGAAGGACAACACTGCATAACTCTTGTTGGTTTGACGAACGTTCGCAACCTTGCTTATCATCTCATTCTTCTGTTATGTATAGTTGCTTCAAAAGACAACGGTTAAGGATAAAGTTCAGCAAAGCCTCACACTCCGAGCCATTCCTTGCTTTCAGGAGCACAAACCTCATCATCCAGAAGCCACCCAAATATGAAAATGCAAGTGGCTGTTTGCTTTTTTACAGCAAATACTGAGTAGTGTTTTAAGCATGGGACAGAATGTAAATCATGGATTGAGTGCCCACGAAAATGCAAAATTATGAAACTAGTAGTAGAAGAAAAGGCTCCCGTGAACCATGTTCTTAATATCACACATCTGTACTAATTAATTGCTGCTTTTTGTGTCTTGCTCGATAGCGCTGTGAACCGCTCAAATATAAAAAATATATTGGCGCGCAAAAATAATACTTTCAACCGAATATCTAATTCCAATATCAACGAACCCTCAGGCTGTGGTCGCCACTGCGAATTAAAATTCAATTTAAAAACTAAAAGTTTAAAAATAGATACCAAAACTGTGCCGTAGAATTAAAATAAGAATACGCCGGTTCCGAGTGGAAAACACTTTAGTCATTTTATGATCATTTAGAACTGGTTTTCGACTCAGAACATTTTCAATTAGCATACCGCTATTGCATGCGTGGTATCCACATATATTTTTTTAATTCGAGAACCAGTTTTTGGGGAAAAATGTAAAATCTGTCGCAAACAGACGTCACGACCTCTAACCGTAGTTAAATTGTAACCCAGGGAATATCGACGCGATTCTCAATCAGTTCTGAACTGAGTGTTCCAGAATGGAGATCACCCAAGTGCTTTCGTGGACTGTAGTGGGTTTAGTAGTGATTGCGTATCTTGCTCATAAATGGAAATACAGGAGCATCAGGGCCATTCCCGGTGTCGAGCCCGATTATCCCTTCCTTGGAAATATACCGCTGTTTTTGAAGAAAGGGAATTCTTTCATGAAAATATATCGAACCGAGCATCGCGTGTCGAAAATATGGTTGGGCCCCGTGCCGCTCATCAACGTGCAGCATCCGGAGCTGGTGCAGAAAGTGTTGACCGAATGTCTCGATAAACCATTCGCGTACGATTTTATGGAACTGGGCACGGGATTAATAGCTCAACGATGTGAGTGCAGCGAACGTGACGTTATCAATCAGTGCAGTTTTGTTATGTACCTATTGTTTTGTTTTACTAGACAGCAGCGTATGGCGAGAGCATCGGAAAACGTTAAGTCCACTTTTCAACTCCAGAATACTAAACAGCTTCATTCCTGTATTCGAAAGAGCAACCACCGAGATTGTGAAGCGGCTAGAACAAGTATCCGATGGACGAGATGTTGATCTGTTAAAGTATACCAGTCACTGCAGTGCCCAGATGGTTCATGGTACGATGGTGAACATTGAACATGTGCCGGAGGAAATCTATAGCTCGCTGATTACGAATTTGGAGATGTAAGTTTACGTCATGAGGCAGCGCTTTGTGTGGTTAATCAAAATTTATTGACTTAATTCGCCATCTTAGATTAGCCTTACTGCAAGGAGGTTTTATGCGTTTTGCGATTTACGTGCAAATACGAAAATGAAGGATATTATTAAATCCAAAATGGCGGAATTTTGGTAATATGGATTTAAAATATTACCAGAATCCCGCCATTTTGGATTTCATAATATCGTGCATTTTCGTATATCAGAAACCACTTATTATTTTGGCGTAGCGACGAAAACGCCTAAAACAAATAACCAATCAAGGTGCATGTCCCTCACACTACAAAACAAATCTCCTACAGTAGTACTACATTCATATTTGCTACTTGTTCAATTCAGGAGAAGTCTGTCAGAAGGGCCTATCTTGAATTCAGGCTCGGATTCAACAGAGAGAGAGAGAGAAGAAAGTGGCAATGGCCCCAGGGCCCCTATTATTATAGATCCCACTTTTTTTTTATGAAATTTGAATTTGAAAACATGAAACCATGTTTAATATTAATAACGTCAACTTAATACATTACCGTAGAACAACGCTTGTCAAAAATCAATTGTAGGAACTTATGTACGACTTATTTCAGTCATAAACAAGTTACTATAACTTATTGTGATGAAAGTATGCTACTCTGGTATTGCTTATCAAAAGACTAACATATTGTGTCATTAATCAATGAATCTATGAAGATGGTAACGCTTTGACAGCACAGTGAAAAGTAATTTCACACTGTGCAGCATTTCAATCTTGATGCACAATTAATTAGGGGCAGATTATGAACCACGAAGATACTTTCGGGATGAAGGAGGAGTTTGGCGGAAGTCTATGATCCATACAAATTTCCACAAATTTGTGTGGACTACTGTCTTCGTGAGGGATGGTAGAGGACTGTCTAAAATCTCCCGATAACGGTCTACGTATATTATGAACATCCCCTTAGGGCCTCTCTGCATTGAACAATTACCTTCATGGACTTCCTCTTTCGTTTATAACTTCAGGGTTTTTGCAGATCGGACGAAATTAGCAATTGGCGTGGATTTCGCTCGTTTTATTAAATCTGTGGCACGTATTTTGCGGAAAGTGAAGTTATCAGGAAAATTAAAATATTGTTATGATTGGATTTTTCAACTATCAATTTATCATTTTATGTGGTCATACCAACTATTAAAGTTTGTCATTCAGCAAAATTCTGATTGATATTGTGAATTAAGTAGAAGTTAATGTTTAGAAATGTTTCAAAATGAATTTAGTAGATTTTTATTTCTCGATATAAGAACAGATCTCACCTAACTTACTCCGCTGATTTAAGAAAGAGAATTGGTTGCAGGATTAATTAATTGAACTTGAAAGAGTGGAACGGACAAAAAGTAGTCAACTCAAATATAATGCATTTCTGTTTAGCATGCACTTTAAAAATAACAATCGTTGATTTTCGAAAGTGTGTCTACGAAATCTCATGCCATTTTTGACTTTTGAATTTTGCATTCTGTTTTTAAGATGGCTACCAAACAATAGAACCAGCATTTTGAAATTCTGAACACGCATTCGTTAAATTCAAATCACTCTTTGTGAAGGCTGATAGTAGACAGCATCATCCATAATATTTACGTGAGTGAATGTTTGGAAAACTATGTATTGCCTTTTAATAGAAACCATTGATACCCTTGGCCAACAATGTTGCAGTTGAAGCCAAAAACTTGAACCCGCCCATTTCATTATACTTCGGCCATTTTTAAAATATTTAACAATCATCAAGAGAAACCTTAAGAAGGATCCAGAGCAAGTTGCTACGTGAAAAAAATTAAAACAAAATGGCATACAGTATCAAATGTAGTGCAAAACTAAATGGAAGGGGTCAACCGTGAAGTTCATGAATTCGTATTTCGCAAAGCATTGAGTGAATTAAACAATATCAGGGATTCATGTGAGAGTAAGCTGCCAAAAATAAAATATATGATCAATTTATTAACATTATTTTTCTACACTTAATTTGGTGTGACTACTTTTTGCTTGTTCCAACGTTTATTAAAAGTTGAATGGAAGATTCACCCATCTTACTTTTTGAGAACTCATAAATATCCCAGGGCTACCGGAACTTCCGAAACCTAGAGACCAGAGGAACTTATAAACATTCATTCTTGGGATTATTTATAGTGTGTAAAATCTCCAGAGAAACTCCACTGTAGTACACTTATTTATACTATAATCTGTCTGCCATACCCGCAACATCTGAAACTGCCGGGACTCCAAGAATTTTAGACATTAAAGACTACAATGCTTCCAAATCCCTTCAGAGTATCCCAAAAGTACCCTGATCTCTGATATGAATGATTTGTAAGCTATGAAGGCTCCGTAGGTTTTGGAATTTTAAATTTTAAGATGTTCTGGCTAAATTTGCCTAGAAACTCTAGTCGCTCAAAAATGTCAAAAATGGTTGTATCGTCAATTATGATGAACTAGCAATGCGCATCAAATCAATTGAATATTATAGTATTTAAAGAAAAACTCGGAGATTAAACTTTGTTTTTTTTTTTTAAATTTGTGATGAAAAGGAACATACTTGTGTAAGTGAACCCATTGTGGACAACTAAGACATTTTATTCTTATTCCTCATAGCTTTACTCTTCAATTTTTTTTATTTTTTATTTTTATTATTATAGCCACTTTAACGCTGTTGGGTCATTCGTGACTTGTCCGGGGATGAAATTTGAACTCGTGACTTTAGCGTGAGAGGTATGGATGCTAACCACTACGCCGGGGTCACCCCCAACACTTCAATTTTGAAATAGGGGATATGGCTCTAATGTTGGCCTATGGATCTAAGATTGGGCATATCGCTAAAAATCTGCTATTTATCAATTTTATCAAGATGAACGTGTCATTGGGACGGTACTAATGGATATTTTTGGTTGCTTTTGACAATTTAGTCGATAGTTGAATTTATGTATGGGCCCAAATTAGGGCCATTAAGTCCGACATTACATCCATTTCCCCTAATGTTTTTTGTTTGTTTGCAAAACTCGTTCTCCATTAATAGCAACACTGGTACAGTAGCTATGATAAGGACTGTCCAATTCCGTACAAAATACTTTTGAAATAAAAAAAAATAAAAAACTTAGATTATGTGTGTCATGGCTTTCTTTGAAACATAACAAAGAAAAGCAAACAAAACTGGTATCATGTTAGATTTTATTCCTCTTATGAGGTTTCGGACAGAACATTTTCTTGTTTTTTAACTAATCGCTTAGAACTCTTAAAATCCTTTTGAAGATGCTCTTAATAATTGCCATTTAGCATCAGCAATCGTCATTCAATAGGTTTTAATTGCGAACAAGTTGAATTGGGGGTTTCGGATCATTTGACTGAATGCCGTTTGGCCGAATGCCGAACAACAAAACTTTAGAGAAGTGCTCATAAATGAACGAAAAATCTCATATTTTTGTCTGTTGATTTGTCTTAATTTTATGAAAAGCTGTGTTTACTGTGCAAAAATAACTAGAACAACAAAACTCCAAAGAACTGCTCATATTAAAAAAGGTGGCTAAAAAAACACCTATTACACTACGAAAAGCTCATCTTTGATAGATTAATATATGCATCGATACTATAAAATTTCAGTTTTAAACAATATAGAATTAAACAAAAAAATATTTATTTATAATATCAAAAACCAGAATTGTGGAAAGTAAAAATGATCCACCGGGCTGCCATTTAGGAATCTAGTAGTGATCAAAAATTGCAAAAAAATTTTAAAGTATTCGGCCAAACGACCCATTTGGCTGAACAGCATTTTGCCAAACGGCATTCGGCCGAATTGCCGGGCACAGAATTGGGACACTCTAGACGAAAATCAGGATTTCTATTTTTTCATTTTCTGCAAGAATGACGTTCATAATTATGTCAAATTAGGCCAAAACAATTGTAAATTGTTTTGTTTTCTTCACAACCTTTTCCACGGATGTTAAAGCCAGTTTAGCCTGTTTTGTCACACTGTCAAAAGTTTGTGAAAAACCATAATCTATGATCATAAAATTGCTTAAAATAATAGTTTTTTTAAGGAGCTTCCTTCTAAAGAAGGACATGACATAAATAATTGAAGAATATTTTTTTTATTTGTAAAAAAATGTTTACAGCTCATTTTCTATACAGTCCTCGATTGCTTACTTTTTTCCCTATGAGAGAAAACACAATATCATTACAATGTAAAAATGACAGCTTAGCTTAGCTTAGCTTAGCTTAGCTTAGTCTGACTGCACGTATCGATAGTTGCACTCCGTGATTGATCTGAACCAGTGAAATTGTACAAAGAATCAACTGAATGGGGCTTGGTAGTAACCTGCCATTCTCAGTGTACATGTTCCAGTGACTCCTACCTTTAAAGATCAATAACGTCACCGGCCACGTCCTTGCAATCAGGTGGGAGAGGGAAGGAATGTTAGTGTGTGACTTTTGTTGTTTTGGGACCGTGTTTACCTCTGCATCCCACAAAAGTCACAGGAAGGAGGTTTTGTTAGTGGGTTAGGTTCGTTGGATCAGGATTCACCTTGATAAGTGATGCGATCTTTTGTTTTGTGTAGTTATTTATAAGTGTTTTCGATTTATGCTCTAAACAGCCGGCTGTCTAGAGATGTAGATCATTATTAGATGTGTGTATACCGATTTAAACCAACAATAAGGATACTGTTGGGGCCCCTCACAAAGTGTGATGATGGTTTATTTTATTTTATCAATGACCAAAATAATTAATTATAAGCGGTTTGAACCGATTTAAACCAACAGCAAGGATGCTGTTGGGGCCACTCACAAAGTGTGATGGTGGTTTACTTGATTGAATATAAAATAATTATTAGAACCGATTTGACCCGATTTAGACCAACGGCAAGGATACTGTTGGGGCCACTCACAAAGTGTGATGGTGGTTTATTTAGTTCGGAAGAAAATGAATATGTATACTTCTTTTTTTTTTATATAATAGAACGAATTTGTACTGATTCAAACCAAAAGCAAGGGTTCTATTGGGGCAACTCACAAAGTGCGATGGTGGTTTATACTATAAGGGCATAAAACAAAATCAAGAGCCATTTCGGTTTCCATAGCTTCCTAGACACTCGGCCGCAAAATAATCTTATCCGACGGAAACGTCTCGATCATCGCTGCACAATGGTTTATTATAGCATTTATAAAGTAAATTTGAATACCTTATTGTTTATTTATTATCCATTTTGACTTGACTTGGTACCGTTCAGTTTTATGATGACAAAGTTGCCTGGAGAAAAGTGACAGTTCAAAATGTTTCGGAAGGGAGTCAGCTAGTGTCGTCCAAGTTCAAGTGCGGAAAAAATGCCATTTAAAGTGGTACAAACAATTGAAAGATGCGAAACATGCCTAACCGTAATTCTTTCTGGTTGGAAAGAAGCTGGAATCCTACACTGGCCGGAAAAAAAAACGCGGTAGCGAAACTCTCTCAAGACGAGTTCTCCATGCCAAACCCAATGTGGGAACGTATCAATTGAGTGAAAAAAAAGAGAGTTCAAGACTCGCTTGGAGGCTGAAGCAGAATTGGAACAGATGTAGCCAGTTTCGGATACGGAGGCGAACGAAGGGAATAATCCACCACCGTCAAAGAAAGTTTGCCCCGAAGTCTACAAGTCCCCCAGTCGGAAGGGAAACACAATAAGAGACTTTAACGAAGTTTTCCTTATTCCTGGGCAGGAGGTTGACACCTGTGAAGCTGACTGTAAAATCCAGAATCAGATGAGATTATAATATATGCGACACAAATTCACATTTTTATAGGGGAACATGTGATGTGAATAGAACCCACCATCAGTGCAAGGATTACATATGACTGCAGATACTTCACTGGTTGTAAAGTTCTGCCTGATGGTTTGTTGCAGCTGGGTGAATCAACTTCATTGAAGACCTTTGGAAGACAAACGACAAGATGTACGTCTATCAACACGTGACAAGGGACTGGCAAATCCACGAACACTTGTCCAGTCTACAAATCCATTGAAACCCTTAGGCTGCCCCCCCCCCCAAACCCAACATATAATAATGTTTGATTGATGAAACGTATTCAAAAAAGGGATATTTAGAGAGAACAATCTTCAACTGGAACGTACTCACCAAATCAATACATCCGGGAGCGCATTCTCGATGCTTAATTTTCTCTAGTCATTTTTAAACAATTCCTCCTCCAGCGAATCCAAACACACAATAACTAAATATCACTTTTCTTCTTCATGTCACTCTGTGCACAAAAGCAATGCACACCGCAAAAACCTAATAATAGATCAGCGCGGTCGAGTCACACTGTCAACAAAGGGAGCGAGAGCACACCAGGCACCAAAGCAACAGGGGAAAAACATCAGCACAAATCATTCTAAATAGAATTATCGCGTCCGGGACATAAAACTATTCAAATGCGAGCACCGAAAAACTACACGGCAGCACAAAGATAGCCCGAGCTCTAAAAAAAAGCACGCAGCGGAGCAAAAACACACAACCGTTCTCGGACGCTTCTCAACGCGGACTCTCATTACAATGTAAAAATGACATACGATAAACGAGTCACATCATAATATGTGATCCTGATAAGTAACTGCAAAATAAAAGATAACATTTGTTTGAAAATTTGACATTAAAAACCATTGCTGTCATATATTCTGAGCATCAATATAATTTTTTTTCAAGTTTGCTACAATGCGTAGAATCACAACCTACCTAACTAAAAAATCAAAGTACACTAAAGGAAAACAATCGATACAAATCTCTAATAAGGTAAATTTCTAAAGGCTTTTGGAATGCATATACACACATAAAAATTCTGAATTTTAATTGTGATGTAATAATATAAATTTACATTATAAATCATATAAAGTTCTGGGACATTTCATGCAATGTATCAAATATTGTATACAAAAGCCCATCTTTGTAAACAACATTGTTTACAAGTTGGTCAGTTGTGTGAAATGAAATACAAGTTTACGTGGATGAATGGTTACATCACAATTAAAATTCAGAATTTGTATCTGTGTTTGTTTGCGGAAAGTAGTGTACCAACTGCGTACTTACTTTTCAATGTACCTATCATTTTCACTAAAATACTTCTACTAAATATCGACAGAAGCAGGCCACTCTCGATGTGTATCACGCGATTGTCTGCTTACTCGGCAGCAACCATTGATGCGTCGTCAACTTTGGAAAGCAACCGTTTCATGATAAATGTGTGAGTGATGACCACGTTTTGCGTTTATTGCGATACTGCCATACAATAAATCCACTGCAAGCGGATCCCGTTGCGATGGAATGGGCTTATTGGATAGCGCAAGATGAAGTGTTTATTGTGTTGTATCTTTTGACAATAAGTTAAAGATGTTTTGTATAATGAACAAGAATCCTCGGCTCTGTAAATTTAATCCGACTGAGCCTTATCAAATAAATAAATTAAATATTATTATTAAGGTTTCCATTAACCTGCCGAGTGCATTGGGGTGATTTTTAGTCAAGCGACATTTGTACAGAGCTGTATTTTTGTAACGAAAACGGATATAGATCTGGACCTGGTTTTGTCTAACCGAAAGCCACTATCTTGGATTTCAAAGTAGCGTCAGCCATTGAATTTCGGTTCATACACGGCACCCCGATTTCAAAATTATCCATATTGTGGAGTAGTTGGCAGTGGTTCCCAGTTTTTCTCTAACCGGAAGCCGCCATGTTGGATATCAAATTGATTTGATCAATTTGAGAACACTCATCCTCCATTAATAGGAACACTGTTCCAGTAGTTGTGGTAATTGCTAACTTTGGTTCCTATAATAGTGGAATGCGTTGGTTTCTTATGGGTTCCACTATTATAGGAATACTACCGCAACTATAGGTGCAAAGGAGTGAAAATCTTAAGGAAAATTAATGATTTTTCGTAATTTTTGGGCTAATTTTAAGTTTGAAATATGCAAATATGCTTTTTTTAGGATAGCTACCGATGAAAAATAATCTTATCCGGATGCTCCTCACTATTCCGGCACAACCTCCATACCGCAACTATAGGTACACCACTATTACTGGAACACCTACCCTACCTAGCTTGATGCATCTGGTTCCAAAAAATCAAAGTAAAATATCTTCTTCATTCCTTTATTTAACGTCGGTCTCTGTTCCGCAATCTAGTGCCAATCACCGACGGACATCGATTGCCATCCACTGACGGCAATCAAATGTGCAGGAAGGCAGCTTCCACACCTGCGTAGGATATCTCACCCATTCAACACACATGGGCCAGGATCAAAGGCTTTACTTCCCTTCCGAAGGAAGACGTGACCACAGATTTTTAAGCCTCAGAAAAATCCCACCGACCTCGGCTGGGATTGAACCCAGACCCATTGGGGTGTTAGAAAGCAGTCACGATTACCACTATACCACCGGCGCCGGCAAAGTAAAATATGGTACCTACAAATAATTTATAACTTTACCACCGAAAAAGAAAATTGAAAACATATTCCCGCGTAAAAAAGGGTTGGGTGTATGTTTACGATGCGCATAGTGAATACTACTACTGTATTGCATTTTATTGCTATTTTATGGAATCACAATAGTTCTTTTTATATTGTGAGTCTTCTTTCCACCCTTGTTTTCAGGCACACACGTGAGCCTGAAAAATCATCCGACACACAAAAGCAACTTAGCATTTCTTTGATTACATTAACTTTGCTCCAGGTCACAGAAACCTGTCCATAAATCACGTAGATACTCAATTGAGTGGTGGTGGAGGGGAGGGGGAATTTCAAACCTCCGAGTTCAGTGTGCAATGACATGTTTGGCTGAGTTTGAATTTTTAAACTGCTTTGTTCTAGCATTCTGGATGCGTTGGGAAAACGAATCATGAATGGCGTGTACGCTCTGAAAACTTTGTACAAAATGAGTGCAATGTACCGAGAAGAATGGCGCTCCAGAAAGATATGCTACGAAACGGTGAATGATGTAAGGCACAAAAGTGACAAGCAGCAGTGACCCAGAAAGATCAATTACGCTTGGTATCTGTTTTCTAGGGCATCATGCAAATGCGAATGAATATCCTCAGCGAGCAGAGTGCACCCGCCGCAGCCGACAGAGAGGACCCATCAAAGTCGAAAGCTTTTGTCGAACGATTGCTCACCATTCAGCATAAAGGGCGTAGCTTCACTGACGAGGAAATTATCAATCATGCTTACACGATGTTGGTTGCTGTGAGATACGATTTATTAGTGATTTATTTTAGACTATTTACTACAACACTTTGCGTTCCGTTTCAGGGTTACGAAACAACAGCTTTGCAACTGACGAATATTTGTATGATGTTAGCGATGCATCCGGAGATACAGGAAAAAGTCGTCCATGAGATCAAGACGGTATTTCCACTGCCAGACTCTGCAGTCACACCGGAAGCACTCAAAGATCTTCCATATCTGGACATGACAATAAACGAAACTATGCGGCTCTATCCGGTGGTACCGATAATTGCGCGGCAAAGCAGCAGTTCTCTCGAATTGGATGGAGTAAATATCCCAAAAGGAACGTCTTTTGTCGTCAACATTGGTGCAGTACACCGGCGCAAGGACCAATGGGGAGCGAATCCGCTTGAATTCAATCCAGAAAACTTTCTACCCGAGCGAGTCGCGAACCGACATCCATACGCCTTCATTCCGCTCAGTGCCGGCCCTAGAGTCTGTATTGGCAACCGGTATGCTATGATTTCGCTCAAGGTCTTTCTAATCCGGTTATTACAACAGTATCGATTGAGCACCAAATTGACTCGAAAAGATTTAAAGTTCAAATTTCAAATCACGTTGAAGCTCAAAATGCCATATACGATGCAACTAGAGAAAAGGAATCTATACGAAGAGGAACGAGTAGGAGCTGGAGTCTCGGCGTAGAGCTTTAAGTTTGACCTGTGGAGAATTATGCAAATTTGATCAATATTACATAAAATTCAGCCAATTAGTATTATTTTAAGCATTTACCAGTTAAACAAAAGGTATTTACATTGCAATGATACCATTTAAATACAGGAAAACAGACTTATCACACGGAGTACTGTTCATCGTTCATGAATGCCGTTACATTTCCATTTAATGTAGCAAGGACAAATACTCAACGTTTAATGTCTGTTTATCTGTGTTTAAATAAACTTTTGATTTCATCGATGACACGATAGAGGATTTCCACGTTCACCCACTTTTACATAATTATTTAGGTATCTGTTGTTTCCCTGACTTGATGCATACTGAAGTGAAAATGACGAGAGGCAAGACGTTTAGCTTTACCGGTCTTCCATAAACACTTCTATAAATAAACAATTCAAGTACATTTGATCTCCCTGAATTTAAATGATTTGTTGTGCTGCCAGTATCTAACGGCCCATTAATTATTCCTTTCATGAACCTGCAGAATGACCTTGTTTTCTTTCTTCTTTCAAACAATCGTTAAATATGGCTTTCATCTGAAATTGTGTCTGTGTTTAGATTCGGTACCATTCGATCCCGTTTAATTTTCACGTTTTATAGCTCATGGAATCGTTGCGATATCATCAACATAATAAGAGCCATTGAGTTATTATAAACAATTGATGTGGCTATAAAATGGGCACTTTAAGAGAGAATCATGAAAGAGAAGTATCAGCGTTGAAATGTAGCTAAAGGGTGATACGGTCAAAATTTGGTCAAGGGAAAACGCGTGTAAATCGGTGAAATCGTTTATTTAAAAAATCAAATTAAATTTCTTTTTCAAGTTCAATTAGTATAAAATTCAGGAAAAATATTCAGTTAGGCTTCCGCTTTTCCAAATCCGAATTGCCTGGCCTTACGCTTGACCCCTGCCATCAGATTTTGTACAGCCACCTTGTCCACCTTCTTCGCCGCAGAAAGCCAGTTTGCCTTGAACTGCTGCTCGCCCTTAGCAGTTTTTTTTTGGTCTTCTTTAGGTTCCGCTTGACAATAGCCCAGTATTTCTCAATTGGGCGGAGCTCTGGCGTGTTGGGAGGGTTCTTGTCCTTGGGAACCACCTGCACGTTGTTGGCGGCGTACCACTCCATGGCCTTTTTACCGTAATGGCAAGATGCCAAATCCGGCCAAAACAGTACGGAACAACCGTGTTTCTTCAGGAAAGGCAGCAGACGTTTATTCAAACACTCTTTCACGTAAATTTCTTGGTTGACAGTCCCGGAAGCTATGAAAATTCTGCTTTTCAAACCACAGGTACAGATGGCTTGCCAAACCAGATATTTCTTTGTGAACTTTGACAGTTTCATGTGCTTGAAAACATCTGCTACCTTTCCCCTTCCTTTTGCCGTATAAAACTCCTGTCCCGGAAGCTGCTTGTAGTAGGCTTTGACGTAGGTTTCGTCGTCCATTACCACGCAGTCAAACTTCGTCAGCATCGTCGTGTACAGCCTCCGGGATCGCGCTTTGGCCGTCGTATTTTGTTTATCATCGTGATTTGGAGTCACTACCTTCTTGTAAGTCGTTTTTTGGCTCGATGCACGGTTGTAGACGATACACCCAGCTTATTTGCGGCATCTCGGAGAGAGAGGTTAGGGTTTCGCTTGAAACTACCGGCAACTCTCTTTGTCGTCTCAGCGGCTTCCGGTTTTCGATTTCCCCCCCGATCCAGACTTCCTGGCTGTCGACAAACGTTCCCCAAACACTTTAATTACATTTGTAACGGTTGATTTGGCAACTTTTAGCGATTTTGCCAACTTTGCGTGCGAGTAGCTCGGATTTTCGCGATGCGCGAGCAAAATTTTGTACGCTGCTCTTCTTGCTTGGACGGCATTTTGACAACTGAAGAGTGAATTCCAAAATCAAAATAGGAGCAACATTCTACACACACACATTCAAAATGAGGGGTGTTCAGGTTTTTTAAATGCAAAATTGAAAGAAATACGTCATGTTGATATTGACCAAATTTTGACCGTATCACCCTTTATTGCTAAAATCATTAATGCTGGCTTTCTGTAAATCTCCTACCTTTACTGGCACTTGAAATATAAAAGAATATACTATGAACATAAGCCTGATATAGAAACATTTCTTTTTTTTAATGTACAATAAGCGTGAAAATTTGACAGTCAGAAAGCTATGTTTTCAGTATTCCACAATTGCAACATATAAAGCAGCACTAGGCATAAAGTTGAAAATTCAATTAACCTCCATTATATTGAACTTAGGATAATTTATTGCAAAACTAGGTTATGCCGTAACTAGAAGCCAAATGCAGGACCTTTTTTAAAACACAGCAGCTTTGTCAAATACAAATCTGTAAACAGAACAGTGGGATGAGAGACAAATTTCTATGATCCTATATTTGAAAAAGATATCAAGTACCAGTGATTTTAAGAAAATGTAGCAATAAACTACAAATTGTTCAAGTTGAGCATGAATGAAATCCTATTTTCTCAAGGACCTTGAAAAAAAAAAATTGTTCCATGGCATAGTTCAAGTATGTCAGCCCTACTTTTGCTGAATAAAACAGATGAAATTATCCTTAATAAGTAAAAAAAGTTATTGTACCATATATCATCGGAAAAGCTGCTGTAGAAAGGATAATAAGTACCATGAAATCTACTGAAATCTATATGAAGGTACACTTTGTGAAAACAAAAAATGGAACATCTAACAAAATTATGAAAGATTTTGAATGTTAATAACTCAGCTGCCAATGGACCAATTTCAATAATTTTATCGATCAGAAATATTTCAACGCATCTGTTAAATTTAAGACATTATTATTTTTCGAAATGTCACTATTGGAAATTGCACGAATGTTGCTACGATTATTAAAATTATCACCGATTGCCTGCGAAAAGCGATTTCCCTAACACAGATTTCAAATTTGAATTCCATCTGGTCTCACCTAACGGTGTTTATTCAATCACCGCATGGTGAGTGGTGCTGTTCTCCAGTACACAACGAAAGGCTGCCTGCAAGCAGCGAGCTGCAGCCCACATGAACATCCATAGAAGGAGGAAGAAGCCGCACCGCTATTTATTGGAATCAATAGATCTTCGTGAGTAGTTGTGGGCCATCTATGTCAAGCGCGTCATACTAAAGAGTGTAAACAGAGCAAACCCCGCTGAAATTCCTATTCCAAAACACAAGCTCTTGCTGCAGTTAACATATAAAACATTTATTATGTAAGACCACTTAGTCCTACGTCACCATTGCGTACAACCCCATAGGGCTGTCCCTTGTAGTTTAACTTATTAAGGAACATCATCATTGTTTAATGATTCATTTACCTTTTAACCGTTCAAGTATAATGAAATGTAATTTTAAACTGCTCGAATGGTGTGCGCTTTTTTTGTTGGGGGAGTTTAACCACTGATGCAGTGAACTTTTGTGGTACCCCTGTTTACTGTTCGTATCATGCAAGCTGACCACCATTTAATGAAATGTTTGTATCAGGGATAAAGATTCCTGAACCAGTTGGTGTTTCAATTTTTGAGCCATCTGTGAATAATATGATTGAGTCTTGAGGAATACTAGGAGCACCGACCGACTTCCCAATCCGAACGCAACGTTTCACATACGTTGAAGGTAGTGTCATAGTTGTCATATGGTTTCATACAGTCTCCATTCATACTCATAACTGATCCTCTTTGGAAGTATTGTAAAATGCTTAGGTGATAAACCAGATCACCAGGCATGACTTTTTTTATAGACCTTTTGAGCCTTCAAGCATTTCTTTCCGCTAACGCTTTTGATGGGGTGTTGCGCATCGCACCCGTTGTAACAATACATGCTAGACGTTGTAGTTTTGCCAGCTTCCTCTGTGTGGTAGCCTCTTTCGTTTTTGGCCACCACACTAATGAAGCATAAGTTACTTTTGGACAGATTACTGATGTGTCAATCTACATTGTCGTTGTTGATTTTAAACCCCATTTTCTACCAACACCACAGTTGATCACAGAATCAGTCTGAACATTTCAATTCCACATGGCAGCCAATATAACTCCTACACACTTAGAAATAACTAATTTTACACGTGACGGAATCCATCTTTGACATAGAGGATCAGACGTAAACAAATATTTCATGTAAAATTAAATGCTCCGAGACTGAAAAGATTGCTACTCGACGTAAAGTAAGTTTGTTATGACTTAATTTTTTGTCAAAATTGACGCTCGTATATGTCACTCTCAGAGCATCTAAATTTACATGATTTTTTCTAAGTGCGTAGGTATTTGACCTGTTCACTAAGATGGATCTCCTTTATGCTTGAACTCCTTTCGGTTAAACTTACTCTTTCTAGTAAAAGAAACGATTACTACTTTTGACGGATTAATGTGTAGGCCCTCCTTAATACACCAAGATTGGGTAAACTTTAAAGCCTGTTGCATTCTTTCTGAAATGATAGCGTCAAACTTTCCTCTTTCTGCGATGGCTATATCATCCGCAAAGTCCATAGCTTCAAAACCTTTCACCTCAAGTCTCCTTAGAAGATCATCTACAACTAAAGACCACATTAGTGGTGAGAGGACTCCTCCTTGAGGTTGTCTTTACTGTTATAGATGAGCTTCCCAGCCCAGACGTGATTTTTCTTTTTGCAAGCATTGTAAAGGCTGACTAAAAGTAAATTGGCACGCACAAAAAGACCTGAAATTCGTGATTCAATATGTTTAAAAAGTCCATTAATGGTTGCTTTACAGTATTTTATTAAAACTTCAAAGTTACAGGATTAGATGGTTACATTTCTCCAGTTCGAACAAAATCTCGAACCTTCCTCGTGATGGAGCCACATTTCTTCCATTTTCCCGCAATTGCTGGATGTCCTTGACTGCACCGCCGTTTCTTCGAAGTCGCAGTCTTTAAATTGCCCAGTATTTTTCGATTGGTCGAAATTCCGGGCAATTCGGTGGATTCATAAGCTTGGGGAC